CTTGTTGATTGATTTACAATGTTTTGATTAACACTCAACGGCATTCAAAAAAAGTAGGGGATATTTGATTTTGGGGGCATAATACTAAAATATGCAAATGACTACGAAAAAAGTCACTATAGAACCTAACAGAAGAAACATTTCCAGTTACATGTGACGCCCAAACGCACCAATAGCTACCGCATGGAATGCAGGTGATGCTTGGGATCATCATGGGGGTCCAACCCAAGATTTGCACGACTCTGACTTTGAATGTTACAGTCATTGTGGCATTGAATTCCAGGGTGGAAACATCAGTTTAATTGTTTTAGTGACCAGAAAACAAATTTTGATATGCGTCGGCTTACCCAAAATGAAAGGTTACGTGCCCTTGGCATGCTACAGATCGGCACAACACAGGCGGTTGTGGCGCGGACGATGAATGTTTCTCAGTCTGTCATAAGCAGGCTATGGTCCAGATACCGTGATACACAATCTGTACAGGACAGACCACGCTCAGGTCGACCAAGGGCGACAACTCAAGCCCAGGATCGATTTATCCGTACCTTGGCCTTGAGAAATCGTGTCATCACAGCAAATCAGATCAGCGCTCGTCTTCAAACAGACACTGGTGTGAGAGTGAGTGGCCAGACGATTCGGAATCGACTGCATAGGGGTCACCTTCGCGCCCGACGTCCTCGCGTGATCCCTTGTTTGAGAGATCATCACATTCAGGCAAGACGTCGTTGGTGTAGGGATCGTCAACACTGGGATAATCGACGCTGGAGCAATGTGATGTTTTCAGATGAGTCAAGGTTCACTGTTGATTTTTTGGACAGACGTAGGAGGGTGTGGCGTCGTCGAAACGAGCGCTTCCAAGACGTTAACGTCATCAGACATGATCGATTTGGGGGTGGTTCTGTTATGGTGTGGGGAGGCATCACTGTTGCTGGAAGAACGGCTTTACATGTTGTTGCAGGGCGTGTTACAGGCCAGTACTACCGGGACAACATCTTGGCAGTCCATGTTGTGCCGTTCGCACGACGTCATGGCCGCCGTTTCATCTTCCAGGATGACAACGCAAGATGTCACAGGGCCAGGATCGTTACAGGTTACCTCAAACAACAGAACATCACCACATTACCTTGGCCAGCACTGAGTCCCGACCTCTCCCCCATCGAGCATGTCTGGGACATGCTTGGACAGAGGTTACGTCAACGTCAACAACGTCGTGCCAATGTCCAAGAACTTGCTGCTGCGTTGCAACAGGAATGGGACAATCTGGACCAAAATGACCTTAGACGTCTCATTAGGAGTATGCCACGTCGGATCAATGCTTGTTTGGCAAACAGAGGAGGATTTACCCGTTACTGACTTGGTTGTGATGCTGTGGTAACTTTGCTGTTTGACCCCGGGTATCATTTTACCCTTATAATGGTCAGTCTGTGCCTTACTTAGTCTAACGATCATTTGGAATAAATCGATGAATGTGAACTTCATTTCATTTTGTCATTTGTTTCTTCGTCAGTTTCATTAGGTGACTTTAATAACACTTAAAAATCAAATATCCCCTACTTTTTTTGAATAGTATATATACGATCAGATTCAGAATTAAGTTGTTGGTATCCGAGGATCTTTTTATTTTGTGTTTTTAACAATTTTCAAGTGTAAATAATTTTATGAAATCAACCTGTCCATAATATCATATTCATTGTATTGGACGTTAAATCTTTAATAAACAACAACAACAGTTGTTTTCTGCCACTTCTCAGAGTGAATCGCATGTAGACACCCCATAAATTGCCCAAATCTAATTTCTATCGTCTGCTTGAGCCTCGATGCGGCCACGGAACCACAGTGCTTTGCACTCGTTGTCTGGGCCAATCAGCAAACGAGTCGTGTTGGAAGCATAGCAACAAGCGGAGTGTGTTTACATTTTTAGGGGTTTTAAAACCCATTTGCATTCCTTCAAAATGAATTCATCGGCAATATTTTAGTCATATTTATAAACTAGAGATTCTCCGCTTTACAACGATGCCATGCATTTTGCAAGAGGATTGACAGGTCGCCCCGCTGCGAGCAGAGAAAAATATCTAATTCCACTGAGAATATTCAGAAAAATACAGATTTAAGAATACGGTACTCTTACAAAACGTCCAAAAAAAGGCGTTTTAAAATGTTTTATTGCTATTTTGATCTTTTGGGTCGATAGATAGTATATTTATTGACTCATTTTTGTGAAAATCTCAATTTCGATCAAAATCAATATTTTCGCTTATTTTATTGTGCACAATTAATTTTCCCGCATTCCGACTCATATTGATGCGGCGGGTCACAATTATGATAAACAAAAAGGTGGTAAACCAATCTCCAGGAAACATTTACATAAATGAAGACCTAAGTTCTTCTAAGGTTAAATTATGGGGAATATTTGTGAATAAATCTATGACATCGTACGATACCATTACGTCTGTATTGTCTGTAAGATAAGATTAGACAACCAGCCTGAACCGCTTGACAGCACACTCACTAATAACGACCTAATAGACCTCACCATAACTTGTATTCATGCAACCTACTTCACCTGGGGGATGACTTTTATCAACAAATTCATGGTCTGCCAATGGGGGGCCAGTTATCACCTCTAGTAACTGAATTTTTATGACCGCGTTTGAAGAGAAAGCCCTGGTAATATCACAAATTAAACCCATAGTCTATTTCCGCAGAGTGGATGACACGTTTGTCATCTTAAAAAGCATAGATGAACATACCACCTTACTACAGCATCTTAACCAACATCCGGGTAACCTTCTCAGACACAAACACCATCAAAGACAGCCTCCAAGCTAATGGTAAATGTAAGTCAACCAAACCAACCTCACCTAAAGGATTCATTTAGCTAGTCTTCTGCTCCTTTAAAAGCAGCTACATTGGGGAAACGAGGCAACAATAGATGTAAGACTTAGCCAACACCAACCAAAACCATCTAACCAGACCTCAGCTGTAGATACTATGGGAAAAGACAAAGAAATTAGCAATCCACCAAAACCATACAAAGAAAAGGAAGATTTTGGAAGCCATCAACATAAAACGTGCTTATGATGCAATAATCGCACTAAATGTGGGAGATACCCTGAACAATAGGACATCAATTATAATAACGGCAGTCATAAACTCCGAATCACAATAGTACCCTAGTATGCCCTCTGTGTTTGTGTGGTAATAAATTAATTTATAATAAGTGAAGTATATTAAGTGAATATAATAAGTGTTTTCCTATCTTTTGTTTTTCTCATTTTTTTTTTGCTGTTTTTTTTTAAAATCCATTTTATTTCCAAGAAATAAACAGAAACAGCCCCTAGGTTGGGGCCTAGGCTTGCTGCTTTACAACAGTTTTATAAATATTATACATGATTATCGTAATTTTATAGTACATGTAATAGTTCATTGGTGCAACCCGGTTTTATACGGTAGTTCGCGGTCGCGTGTGTTTCTAAGAAATGAAATGAAATGGAGTTTAACGTCCTACTGTTCTGGTGTTTCTAAGAGACTGGATGTTGATGCACTGTAACCGGAAGTTTTTTTATAATTTTTCTGTTGAACAGATAACGGTAAGCATATTTTTCTGTATTTCTTATTTCGTGAAATGAAATGGGGTTTAACGTCCTACTGTTCTGCTCCTAAACTGGGCTTATGAAGACGGGCATACGCCATACAGTGTGCTATGAGGGAAATTTTGCCCGGGCAGCGGCGCTACGGCGTACTCTTATATCGAATTCCAACCGCCAAGGGATCTTTTACGAGCACGCCAATGTGTACACGGGACCTCGGTTTTTCGTCCCATCCGAACGAGTAGACAGCTGTCCTTGTCAGGCCCTCCGTCTTGCATCACTGAAAAGGGGAAACCACGTCGGAAAATCTGGATGAACTTTCTCGGCCATTGCAGGGATCGAAAACCCGACCCCAGGCTAGCGAGCCAGCGTCTTACCCCTTCTTATTTTCTCTTTAATTATATAATATATTAATTTCTGTATTGCATACGTCTTTATTATTCAATTATAGTTGGTTAGTATATTGTTTTGTTCATTAGATTAGTTAAGTCTAATAGACACCTTCATATGACATGCCCTGTGTCCTATTTATTGTAGTCTAGCTAGACTATGGTTCGACTCCGATTATGGTCAGTGGGTCAGTGTTACACTAGGATATCTGTGTTTACATTTAGATTATACATAGCATAGTGGCATTAAGGTCTTTCAGAAATTGTTGTGTCAATTCTATGTTTATTTTGCTGTTTGTGATATTTTTTGTTTTGATTTTACATTTATATTCCCATATTATTTTCAGATAATACGGTATTTCACAGATTATAATTGGTGATGTTATATCATGAAACAGTAATGTGTATTTGTAAAATTCAAAATTATTATCAATGGAGAACATTTTTAGGTAGACTTGGACGTTTTGTTTATAGTCTTTTATCGCCTGACATTGTAGGAAGATATGTGTAAATGTTTCCTCATGTTTCATGCATAGTCTGCATCTATTGTTACTGTGTTGAGATTTCTCTTGTATAATATTTGTTTTGTAGGCAGTGCTTGGTGTGTTATGAAAATGACAAGGTCAAAATCGAAAAGGATATTAGGCATACTAGCAAGTTGCTGCCATATTTTAAAGAAGTCTGTTGTTGGATATTTGTACATAATACTTGGTTTAGTAAAGTCTAATTTGTTTATTTCATTGTCAATATGTTTTGATTTTGCTGTGCCTGTAAGATTGATTTTATCACGATAGTGAAGGTAAGTAATTTTAATGCTTTTATAAATTTGTGGTGTATTTACTGTATGTGATAATTTGTTGGGTGCTAACCAAGGCAGTATTCCTTAAATTGTATATCCAAACCAATAGGCGAAAAGTTTAGTCGATGGGTTTATGTTATTCTTCACATATAATTCTTTGGAGCGCCATTGCCCTTATTTTATTTTCTATGTTGGGCACATTTAGACCACCCATGTTGAATGGTTGGTGTAGTGTCATTCTTTTGATAGTTTCTGGTGTGTCTTGGTAGATAAATCTAAATATTTCTTTATTTATAGATTTTATAATGTTTTTTGCTGGTGTAATAATTCGGCATGTGTACCAGAGTTTACCGAGTATGTAAGTATTTAATAATAAATATTTATCTTTTATTTTTAATTTATATTTTATCTATTAATTTTCTTAGTTTTGCCAGTATGGGTAGCCAGTTTTTTTCGATATAGTTGTGACCAAACCATATTTCTAGGAGTTTTATTTGTGTTTTAATATTTATTTGTGGGATATCTTTTCTATGTATAGTAATATTATTTATTTTTATAATTTCAGTTTTTGATGGATTTAGTTTTGATCCAGAAGCAGAGCCAGAGGATTCTATGTCTTCTATAAGGTACGCGTATGATTTACTGTTTGTTATAATTGATGATAGATCATCAGCATGTTGAAATAGTTTTATTTCTGCGGACGTGTTTGGGGTATGGATTCCTTTTATGCAATTGTTCTGGTTTATTTGTACCGCAACAAGGTTTATAGCAAGGCAGTATATTAACATTGATAAACAACACCCTTGCCTTATACCTCTTGTTACATTAATTTCCCTGGTAAATGAACCATTTACCTGTACCCTACTGACAATGTTTGTATAGATTATGGTAATCCATCTTATAATGAAATCTGGAAGGTTGTATTTTTGCAGTAGTTTTAAAATGTTCAATCACGTCAAATGCTTTCATTTGATCAAAGCTTAGGAGTAATCCTGGTATATTTTTTTTCTTCCATGTATGTAACAATACTATGGATTGACATTAAGTTATTTAATATAGATTTCCCTTCCCTAGCCCCTGTTTGGAGTGGGGATATTATTTTATTTAACATTGGTGTTAACCGATTAGTGATAATTTTTGTTAATATTTTATAGTCCTGACATAATAGACTTATAGGTCTATAATTTTTAAAATAGTTGGAGTTTCCCTTCCGTTTATAGCTTATATTTATCATTGCTTCTTTCATTGTAGGTGTGAGTTCACCTTTGAGATAGATGTTGTTCAACACCTTCACAAAGTCATCTCCTATTATGTTCCAGAAAGTTAAATAGAATGATGCCTGGAGACTTGTTATTTTTAAATTGTTTAGGGCGCTTAGGGCTTCTTCATTTGTGATCAAATGTGATATTAGTTCTCTATCTTCATTTGTAATTTGTAATAGGTTATTTTTGTTTAAATATGTATCTATTGTATAGGGGTTTATGTGTTGGGAGGTATACAGATTCATATAGTAATCATGTATGGTGTTTAGCATATCTTGCTTAGTCGTTTGTATGTCCCCATCGTTGTTTTGAAGTTGTGTTATCTTTTTATTACAAGCATTCTTTTCTTCTGCTATTTTGTACATATCAGTATTTGATTTGTCTGTGATGTTAATATCTAATTTTGACCGAATAATGATTCTTCATTTTTATAGTTTTCAATCTGGGTAATGTCAATTTTAATTTTGTTAATTCTGTTTTGTTCTGGGTTCCCGTTTTGTTCTTCACCTTCTAGACAGCTATAGAGGAGTTTTAATTTTGAGTGTTTGATTTTAGATATAGTTATACAGAAGGTTTTTGCAATTGATTGAATTTCTTCTTTTCCTTTGTCCCACCATTCATTACTGTGACTGAATTTCGTTTTCTTATATTTCCAAAATTCCCAAAATTTGGTTATGGTTGATTTATAATTGTTGTTTGTGAGTATTGAATTGTTAAATTTCCAGAATCCTGTTCCCAATCTATAGCTGTCTAGATTAAGTTTTAAAGATAGAATTTTATGATCTGATTTTGTGTTAGGATGGTGGTTTAAGTGTGTAACACTAGTTAGTAGGTTATTAGATATGTATGCTCTGTCAATTCGACTAGCACTACTCCTAGTATTAGACCATGTATATAATAACTTGTCTGGAAATTTATTCCTGAATACATCTGATATTTCTATGAGTTTTGTGATATTGATTAGTAGGTCAATAACTATCTGGGAATAGTAGGTATCATTTTTGGAATCAATCTTATTTTCTGTTAAATTAAAAGTCGCCAATTAGAATGTAGTATTCTTTCTCATTATAGATATTCTTTATATGATTGTATAAATTTTGAAAGAAATTTTGTTTTTCTTTAGTTGAACCGGGAGGGCCATATATATTCATTACATTGGTTGTTTTATCGTTAATGTTTAATGATATATGTTGATACCTTCCTTGTAGTGAATTTGGATATGTATATTCTTTAAATTCAATGTCATTACGGATGAGCATGCTTGTTCTGAGATAGTTATTGTCAATAGTATTTGATATAATTTTATAGTTACAATCTTGATATATCTTTGATTCATTAATAATTTTCGTGTTTGACACTGTTTCTTGTAAACAAAGTATCTCTGGATAACTGAATTTATCTGTCAGGGTGTTTATTTTATCATCAAAGCCTACTTGGATATTAGAGGATATGATATGTATGCTTATAGAGATAATCAAGATTTTAACTATAGACATTGTAGAATAATAATTGTATTGTTATATATAAAACTTATTATTCAGTTATTGGATTTCTCATTCTCAATTTTTTATCTATTACATCTTCATTACTGCTAATATTCCTTTTCTTTGTATTTTTGTTATCTTGGATTTTAACATAGTCTGCACTGGTACACTCAGTTTCCCGTGCTTCCTTCATTTCATCATCATTTTTATTGAGATTAAAATCCATTAATGTATCAATATTTTTATGTACGTCTTTATCCTCATCATTATTTGGATCAATTATATCAGAGTGAATTCGTTTAAACTCTGTGTCCTCATTTTCAGTTGTATTATTCTCCTGGGGAGAGTAATCCAAATTTAGATCCATTTTGGGAGTTGTATTATCATTTATATTTCTGTATGGATCAGGGGTTATAGGCAGATCAGTAGATGGAGAGGATTGCAGTGGTGGAAAATCCTCTTGGATTGGTGAATAGTTGGGTTTGTTCTTACATTTATCAGGCAAGGGACATTTCCTTCCAAGATGACCTGCCCTTCGTATTTTACACCTACTCGTTAACCTTTTATAAAGATATGGGATGGGATGGGCTTGAACACACGTTTGGTATATATTATTCGAACTCCGCTTTCTATTGTAGGTGTAGGAAAACTTTTATAGCATGGTCTCTCACATCTGATGACATCAACGTAGTTTGAGAGTTTTCGTGTAATGTCCTTATTGTCTATTTCATAGAATAGGTTATAAATGACAATTGGGATAGAGTCTACTGGGTATTCCAAGATAGCTTTAATGGTACCTTTGGACTCATATCCAAAAACATTGATAGTAAATGATTCAAAGAGTCCAACAAAGAGATCTTTAGATTCTTGGGAGTCTACTGTCAAATAGAAATTCCCATTCCCTATATTTTGGAGACATTTAATACGTTTTTACTTCAGTGTGTCTTGAGGTTGCGTTCACACATAACCTCAAGATTCCTCAAGCTGTATTTAGTTGATGCTGATTCCGACTGAATTGTTGGCGCATCAAATAGCCACGAGCTGAAAGGCGTCAGTCGATAAATTCTAATTGCATGCCCTGCCTTATTGTGTGATCTATCTCTGAACAACAATAACACTTACTGACAAACAAAAGTTGTTCGGTGAAATAGGTTTATCCAATATCACATACACCAACATTTCTTTCAGTCGCCATGTTGAGATAGTTTTACGCCTTATGACGTCATATCCTCCTCATTAAAATTTAAGGACCCTTGTTTTACGCGATATTTTTTTGTGGATTGCGTATATACTGTGTTTATAGAGATTTTATATCGGAAATCAAAGACGATGTTTATTGAAGGAATAATTAGGTCGCCCGATCTTCACACTGAGTTGAAAATACACAACATCTATTGAGAACTTAATAATTATGATTAATTAGTAGGCCTAGATTATGACCAGTGCTTGAAATTAGGATTCTTCTGCAACAGCAGCACAAATTTAAAAATGACGTAACTAAAAGTAGCTGACAAGGCACGACTGCATTTCTTCATCTTTAACATATAGTGTTGTCATTTTCTATCACGGGACGTGCAATTTTTACATTCGTAGATAGACAAACGGCTCGTACAGTGATTTTCTGTGTCAATTAATACTGTCATAAGTATAACATTTACAGAGTTTCGTTGGAAGTCATCGAAATTTGTTTTCCTTTCGATCTTTTAGTTATTCGTGTTCACAACGGTTGCGATCACATGTCGACCATAACTAAAATTGATTCAAAACATTCCCCACGACTGTGTCATAGCCTTCTATAAAAAGGGGACTATTTTAGAAAGCGAGCATGAAATACTAAATTATAACGGCGGGCTCGATCTGATTACTATTTACAACTAAATCTTGCATCGCTGAATTATTGACACCAATTCCAAGCCCAGCCGTCCCTCAACGACCGTATGATAATTGATATTATAAAATAAAAGGCATACATTTTTGATACGTGTACACGTGGACAACGGCGCAATGCTATTTTTATTTCCGTAGCAGTCCGTGTTTGCTTCAGCTTTTACGACAGTTTTGCCGGATATGTCGTTTTTAATTTCTAGCATAGGCTGTATGATCGAGATTATTAGTTATTAAATGTTACTAAATGTTGATTAGAATATAAATCCCTAAATTTGTTGGCACCCGTAGAATATTTTAATCACAAACGGTTGATTATGATAGCCGCTGTCAATGTCACGTGACATTGCTATTTTATAGAGTTGAAATATCACACACACGGCAACTAAAATAAAAGGGCCGAGTACCATTTTAAGTAATAGAGAATGATTTGTTCAGAATTTGAATAATATTTTAGGAAAGGTATTTGGCTGCCGAGTCTTTCTGAACAGGTATCGGCTTTTGCAAATATCGGCAAAACTTCTTCTGATAGGTCAATCATCGGCCAATTAGGTTACTGATGGTGAAATTGATAATCAGACCATCACTAAAAATAAATTTAAAATGATCGATTTCAAATTATAGTCTCTTGATTTCGTTTCGTTTAAAGAATTCCGTTCGTAATGTGTACCTTGCCAGATTTGTCGTTTTGCTAATGTAGGTCATTTTCTGTTTCACTGTGTGTTGTTGGTTATCGGCGAAGATTTTTGTGAAATCTCTTACAATAGACAGCAAAAACGATTTTGTGGAAATGGATGGATATAAATAAAATAAAACCAAGTACGAACAATCCAAACCATTAGACAAAATTCGAAGTCCTAAAAAAAACGGTATAGGCAAAATAGTGTAATAAGGCAAAATAGTGTAATCAGCATATGGACCGTTCACCGTGTACAAAATACACGACAAACAGTGGTAACAGGTGTCCGGAAGAGTAAGCTTACCCTGCCTGGCGCCACACCCGCCATAGCTGCATCCAAACTATTAGGCGAAATCTCGGTAAAATAGCGTGATTTTGTAGCCCTTATATTTTGCATGTCGTTTGTTTATACATTTTTTTTTATTATATTTTTTTTTACTTTTATATAAGACACAAATATACACTATAGTACAGTTTAGAGAAGAGACAGGACCAAATTTTCACTATTGTTTATCTTGGCCGCCATAATGGCTCTTCAGCTCCGAGTTATTTGAAAACACAAACACAAGTATCCCCTCTCGATTCTTTACAGGACGCCAGTTTAGTTTATATATTTATCACATTTTAGTTTATATATTTATCACATTTTAGTTTATATATAAACCCACTACATAGTTTTGGATAATATATTTGAAAACAATATATATATCAAGGACGTGGCGCTGGACAATTTCATCGACTATTTAACCAAGTTGCCACTCCCTATCAAACGCAATGCAAAATCAAATGTGTCGAAGGAGGAACAGTGTGCTTTAAATTCCTTAAAATCTAACAATACTATCGTTATTAAAGAAAGCGATAAAGGAGCTGCCATTGTTATCATGGATGCGGAATATTATGAGAGAAACGTCCTTAAAATACTTGACGACAAACGGGTTTATACAACCATAGATTTGAACCATGATAAAAGAACAATGGGATTAATAAACGCCTTAATCCAAGATCACAAAAACGAACTGACGGACAAAGAACAGGATTATCTCCGAAAATTCGAGTATAAAACAAGTCAGTTTTATGGTCTTCCAAAAATTCATAAATCCAAGATGATCAAGGAGTCTTTTAAACACCAAAATGCCGAATTCATCAGTGTTTTCCATCCAGGCGATCTCCAATTCAGACCAATAATTGTCGGTCCGTGCTGCCCTACTAATAGACTATCAAATCTTATTGATATCTTACTTAGGCCGTACGTGCCAAATGTAAAATCTGTTATTCGGGATGACATAGATTTTATTAATAGATTGCCCCAAAATCTGAACGATGGCGACGTTTTCGTCACCATGGATGTTTGTAATATGTATGGCAACATTTCCCATGACCTATGCTTTAAGGCCATAGAATATTGGTTGGATAAACATCTTGAATGCAGTCATGGGAGAGTTTCAAACAACTTCACCCTCAAAGCTATAAGAATCATCCTGACTAACAACACTTTTACACAATTGGCGAAACAAATTACAAACAGATTCTTAGTATAGCGATGGGTACCAAGGCGGCACCACAATTAAGTAATTTAACAATGGGATTCCTTGAGGAAAAACTATACTCAATTGTAGAAAGTGAACATGGCGTAGATTACAGATTATATTTAGAATATCAGTCGAAACGATTCCTAGACGATATATTCTGTATTTGGAATGAACGAATTTGGCAACATTGCAGATTTGCAAAAAATAATGAATGATTTAGATCTAAATATCAAATTCACAATTGAAACGAACGATCTGCAAATCGCATTTTTGGACGTTCTAGTGAAACGAAGGGGAGAACTCCTTTTAACGGATATGTATTCTAAAGAAACAGATACCAAAAACTATCTTTCATATAAATCATGTCACCCACGCCATACCAAAAATAATATACCCTTTTCTTTAGCTAGAAAAATATGCACCATTGTGATAGATGAAGATCTCAGGGTTGTCAGATTAGGTGAGCAAAAAAGAAATTTATTGAAACAGTATTACCCCGTCGGGGTAATAGAAGTTGGGATAAATAAGGCTTTGGCAATTGATATCCAAACACTGAGGGCTACTAAAGCAAAAGACAGTTCGGATAATATCATTACCTTTGTCGCTACTCATAACCCCCAACATCCCAACTTCTTTAAAACAGTGTACGAGAGCAGGTCACTCCTGGCATCAAACGACAACCTCAGAACGAAATTTGATAATGTTCAATTCATTAAATCACAAAGACAGCCACCTAATCTGAAACGCCTTCTAACCAAAGCAAAATTGAATTCATCTATCACAAGGACCGGCTTTTATGTAACTAAATGCCCGGAACTTCGATGTAAATGTTGCGACCATATTATGCCAAATAACAAATAATTTTCATAAGTTTTGTGTCAACGACAATATGAATTGTGACACAAAAAATCTCATATGTCTTGACTTGCAATGGGTGTCTAAATTTCTACATAGGGGAGACGTCCACGCATCTACGGGATAGAGTACGCAACCATCGACGGGATTGTAATATTGAAAATGGGCCCTTATTTGTAAATAGACATATCTTTAAATGTGCACAACACCTACAAGTAAAATTCCAAATTTTCCCTTTTTATAAAATGAAAGTCGATGACACCACGAAAAGGAAATTAATGGAAACCCAGTTTATTAAAAAAAAAATACGTCCCTCGACTTAATAGTCAATAAGTAACAATTGGCCATCAGCTTCATTAATTTTCTTAAATCTATCCCATGATTATCTCATTGTTCCTAAATTGAACCCATATACTACAGATTAACACATGTGTGTACATTTTTCTATTAGTTAACGATTTACTATGTAACCATAGACAATGGTAACTATAGCCAATTAAAACCACAGTGTTACTATGTAAATATGTATAAATATACTATACTGTCCATCTTTATACAATGACATTATTTATGAATAGTCCCAAGACGGACGAAAAGTACTTTAAAATGTTAAAATTAATGTTATTAAACCAGTGTTGAAATCAGTTTGTCTCGGCATACCTTTTATCGTTTCATCGTTTACCGTGAAACAAAGTAGTGCAGCTTTACGGCTGTGCTAATATTTCTGGATATATATATATATATATATATATATATATATAAAAGGTGGGCATTAGGCAGACCATAAATACATATATATAGCCATTAAGCAGACCGATGGATTAGGCAGACAAAAACCGGTCTGCCTAATATTTTAACTGATGAATTTTACATGCTAAAAAGTGAGAAATCACATTTCTGTACTTGGAATAGATTTTAGTTGCCTCCCACAGTAATTTTGGGTATCTGGATTTAAAGAAAGAAAATTAATAAAATTTATTTTTTATTCTTAAGTTTTGACATAGGTATATTTCTTTATCTATTATTATGGGCATTAGGCAGAGAGGCTTTAACCCTGAACAGTTTTCTAAAAACATATGAATGTCTATATTTTTTTTTTATTTTTTAATTCAGGAAACATTGCTTTTAATTTTGATAACAAATTTGTTTCGTATTTTTTATTAATTTCGAAAATAATATTTTGTCATTTTGTTACTGTCAAAATTCTCGTTTCGACGTGAGAGGTCATTAATATTGAAACATTCACGAGTATATGACGTCAACGTCCCGATGACGTCAATGTTTCGATGACGTAAACGGCAGGTGTCAACCTCCTCTCTACCCGGGAACTTTCGGGACTTTTGGTTTGCATTTTTGGTTGTGGAAAATGGCACCATCGATCTACAGTATGGAGAACGGATGGTAAGTAAAATTATTATTATTTCGAATACCGAAAGAATTTTAAGTAAATAAACTAAATCAAATGACTATAATTGAGTATGGATTAGTCTTTATTTTAGCCAGAATGATAGGCCTAGATCTAATGCCAATGGGGCTCACTTAGACTTGGCCTTGATAAAACCATAGATAATACCGTATGATTGCCGACTCATGAATTCTCGACGTTATGTTGCGAAATTCGTGAAACGGCGAGAAAGGTGGTTGATCACTTCCGGTCTTCTGTTCTCGCTGTTTGATTACTATAGGCCCAGTAGCGATATTTTTATTTAGCGCTTTCTTGTAGTGTTAAATGTGGCATCATCTGGTTAAATGGAAACGAGAAATAGAAGCAATGTTCGAGGTAAGAATAAAAATGAATATCTTATAATTTTGATATGATATTGTATTATAAATAAGTATTACATTTCATGAAAATCTCGACACGTGTGTTGCCCAGGTAAGGCAAAGTTTGACAGCTTTGACCTACTTTTAAAAATCGGCAAAATAGAGTTTTCAATTCATTAATTTGTAAAATAATACTTGAAGATCATTAATAAATCGTAAATATATAAAATACAGTTTGGTATGAATAATAACATTGCTGTGTTGGCTATATATAAGCTTTTAGGCCCTAATTACACAATTTTTTAAAAAATCGTTTGTATTTTCAGCAGAACTGTACTGGTACCCGTCTTTTGTTTGCTACCTAGGGGCCTAGGGGAGTGCCAGCTTGTGAAGCAAATATATTTCATGTTGATTTATTGTGATACTGATAAATAATTGTATGTTTTATTTATGTTATTTACTTCTTTTCATATTGTGTGTGTGTGGGTGGGGGGGGGGGAGGGGGTATAAATATTGAGACACTAGACATTAATATATTGATAAAGTATTTTATTTTATGTATCTATTTATTTATATTTTATTTATTTATTTTTTTTTCATTTTTTTTGGGGGGGAGGGGATATTATTATTTTCATTATTTTATTTGTTTTATTTTAATACTCAACAAGGGATTTGGTTTAAATTGTTTGATTGTATTATATCATTATTGATTTTAATTTTGTATAGTTGAATTAAGCATAATTATTTAATTTTATGTATTTCAAACATCAGAAAATAAACCATTCAAGCTATGTGTAATGTGTTTGTATGGTTATGTTGATGGTTAAATAGGTTGAGAATTGAAGCCAAATGACCAATTTTCGCGAAAAAGGGATCTGCCAGTTGGTGTTACAGAATTCCGTCAATTTTGCTCCGATATTGATAAGGTTGGTTTTTTTACAATGCTGAGATGTATGGCTTTTTAGGAAATAACACGGTTCTGGAGAAAAATTAATATTTAAAAATAGCTGCCGGTCGATATTTAAGAATATGGGTTTACTGTTCCATGTAATTAAATTCATCATTAAAAATATAACCTACAATTTTTGTTTCAATTAAATAAGTTAATCTTAACAATAATATTAGGCTATTGCATTTTTTGATTTAAATAATTTAATCTTATCAGTTGAGGAAGAAAGAGTTGGTATTTCAATCTAATAAGGTGCCTATAAATTATATAATTATTCATCCAATTATGTAACATTAACATTGTCTGATCGCTTTATTTAATAATACATTTATTAATTTATCATAAAAGTATTGTTAATTAAAGATGCGTTTTTAAATGTTAAACAGGCATGATGTAAGAGCTAAATCTGCTTATTGCAGCTCTTTCTTTGGGCCTTAATGTTATGTAAATTATCAATTAGACATTTATTAACATGAAAAGACCATAATCAACTCTCGATGCCTTCTGATTGCTCAGATTTTAAATAGATTAGAACGGTATGGTGGTAAATTTTCAATATATTCAATTTGCATTATCTATTTTTTAAATGTTATAGTTAATAGCAAGAATGATCAGCTCTTTATCTAAATCTTACATAATTCCCCTTCAAATTTATGTTATTTGTTATTGTATTATTTTAATTTAAGACATAAAGAAATATATTTTGGTTCTCGCTTGGATGACGTGTTTTAATTTTTTTTTTTTTTTTTAAAAAAACCCTAACAAAACAGTCTTGTTAATTACTGCATGTAAATAATTTACCCCGGTTACACGAAGCAACTCTGTAAAAAAAATTGACTAGATCTATAGGCTAATTTGTCAAGTATGCAAACAAGTTAAATGTTAATGACATGAATGATATTGGATACCGTAATCATATATTCATATAAACAACATGATGAGATAAATGTAGTGCCTTACAATTTTTAAAAACTCATCTGTTACAAACAAGTGATAACTTAGAGCTAAAGACTTCGTGTAGGTATGTTTTGCCAAGCGCTATGAACACAATTTTTTCGGAATTTTGGCGCTATAGAAATGGACGTTCATTATATTTATTTATTTGGTTCTTCTGGAAAAATACATACATCTATTTAAGCACCAAAAGTACTTGGCTGTTCTGTTCAAAAGCTTATAGTTCCAAATTTTTAAACAAATCATCTTTCACATGATTTAATTAGCTATTTATTTTTATATCGAAGCCCGAAGAACAGGAAATCAAATTGGTGTGGCCAACATTGAAATATCAGATATCAAGGATGAAGTTGCCTTTATCAACTCTTGTAAATCTTTTAATGTAAAGGATTCCTGGAAGAATCTATTTTAGAACAAAAATTCCTTTTCATTGATAACTAAAGCAATAATTCCTTTTTTATTTAATACTAATAGTGTTTTCTTTTTCCTTATGTATAATTGTTATATCTACTGAAGCTAATTTAATTTCTCAACAAAGCCTAGATCAAAAAGACTATGAAATAATTGCTTACATTGGGGTGGGGTGCAAGCTGAAAAAAAAGTATGTGTGTATTTTTTTTTTTTTTTTTTTTGGGGGGGGGGGGCTGCATTTATAAAATTAACACAATTAAATGACAGAGGGACTTAAAATAAATAAATGGCCATTTTCTAAAATTATTAATTAGGCCTAGATTGGAAAAGAATTTTGTAGGGATATTTACATCTTTATCAACTAAAGTATACAAACAAAGCTGAATTTATTAAAAAAAAATGCACATTTGAATATAAACAAGATTTTTAAAACTGTTCTAATATACCATGCAATTGATAATAAAATGCAACATCTAATTTTATTAATCATACTATAGATAGGCCTATACCGTAGGCCTGTGTGTTGGCACAGAGGTGCGGGTTAGTTAGCTCGCAATATAACCTTTTTCCTTCTGCAAATTAAATTGTAGAACATTTTTTTTGAAGTATTAGAAAAATAAAAATAAATTGTTTGAAGTATTATCTCTATATCAAAAATATTTCCTAATTTTAGTGTAAATTGGTACGGTACATGAATAAAAAAAGGCATTTTTTGCCCATTTGTAACCTTTTTTCAACTTAACGTCACACAGTAGCTATTTAATCTTTTGCAATAATCTAAAAATATTTTGGAAGGAGATATCTTGTTCTTTTTTTCATATAATTTTTATATACGTGTTCATTTTATTAATTTCATAAACGTAAGTTTCAAAAACGTCAATTTCGCGTGTCACTGTGCGTACGTACTGTCGAAAGCTAGACCGGAAGTAAACAACCCCCCCTGCGCAAAAGAATATGCGCACAAACCAGAACGCAACATCACGTAAAGGCCTAAAGACGAGTCGGCAATCATACGGTATTATCTATGATAAAACTTAAAAGATGGAATTTATCTACAGGCCTAATGTAGTCTACCTGTACTGTTCACTTTTTGGGTCACCATAACATATGGTCGTTACGCAGTGTTGGGTGTTAAGACCATCACTATTCATTGTTTGTGTGTTGGATCTAGGCTGCAATTTTAAACTCGTGTTTACGTTTGGCACTTTTCTTTTGATAAATCTAACAGTAACACCAGTCAGCTGGAGTTGTATAGTTTTTATTATTTATTTCCAGCTTGAAGCCTGCATCACAAAGAAAACTAGTGCTACATGTATGTAGGCCTATCCATGAATCCAATCACTTGACAAGCAATCAGGTAGGCTTTGATCGTTTGTTTTAGCCTAATTCATTTTATACGATAGGCCTTTTGTAACAGAGTTGGATCAGCTGATATTCTAAATCTACTGTTTTTATTTTCAAAGACATTACAAATTATCAAATGAGACTATAATGGACTTGGGTACAGTGAACCATTGGTTAAACGTACCCCAGTGACAGTGGTTCAATTCAATCTGCTACATCACAGTTTTATGATCAAATTTTTAATAAAAAAATCAAAATGGATCAAGCTCTTGTTTATCTGGATTGAAGATTAGACATATGAATTGGTTGCAAGTACAAGAATTTCCTAGGCGTAGCAGTTAACATATATTTATGGAAAATGATAAGTGAAAGTAGTGAATTTTCACTTTTAAGCACTCTTTTGAAAAAACGATTGCCTAAAAAATAATTGACAGCATGTTGCTACTGCTTATTGACGGAGAAATAGGTCTAAAAATCAGTAAGAAGTTATCTCACTTCTGTGTAGTCTTGGGTTACCTAGTATTAAAATATCAATGGTGGTTTAACGTACTCATATGTTCAATGTGCCCCGGTCTCCCCTATACATATCGTTTTGTTGTGGCTAATCATTTTGTGGCGAAATAAAATTTCACAATATATAAGTCCTGATAAACTCCATTTCAACTGAGAAATTGTTAAAGATACAAAAGCTCAGATTTCTTACATTGGCAATTTAAGTCTTGGCATGTAGAGTTAGTAATTTAATGTCCAGTAAACTGACTTCTGACCTCAATACCTACATATTTACGTCATGTATTTGATTAGTCCTTTCCAAATCGATTACTGCTGCAAAAAGTGGTCATTTGAATGGTTTACACGGAGCTATATAACGTACAAATTACTCATCAATTCACAGAAATGTTTTTATTTTCAACAGCTAATTTCACATAAAATCTGGAAATCTGATTCACATTAATTCATTGATTGATACGACAGAAAAAAGATGTTTACATTTACAATGATTTTTGGAGTTAATTAATTTTGTACTAATCATGCAGTATTGACGTATTCGTTCATTTTTCCATGTATATATGCAATAGCCTTGACCAAAAAGGACACTATTCAGCATTTATATGACATGATGACCTAATTCCAACTGTCAAATTTGGTGTAACGCATTTGAGAGAGAGAGAGAGAGGGGGAGAGATAGATTGGGTTTAACTCCACTTGACACAATTAAGGTCATTTCGGGACTAACAAATGGTTCAATTTTATTTCAATAATTCGCTTGCGCGTGGGGGTCTTTAGCAGTGGGAGGACCCGGAGAAACCCAAGAGGTTGGACAGGCGATCCTACTCCTTGTCACGTACAACCGAGGAATCGAAACCAAGCCAGTTGACTCAATGACAGACCTTGTGATACAGCGCGCACATGCTAACCATTTGGCCACCCAACTCCCAAAGCATTTGGATCTTGAGAGGACGGACCTTATCAATATTCAGAGTTTTATTAAGTGGCCACATTTTCCGAAAACGTTGAGAATAGATAGAACTTTCAGTTTCATAGGATTTTGTTTTTTACAAATTCGATGTGAAGAATTGGGACAATTAGAGGATGAACCCTAAAGTTCTCCGTCCATCTCTTGCAAAATATGTGTGTGTGTGTGTGTCTTGCATGGTAACTGCTTATTTATTGCAAATTATTTCTTTCTTTCAGGCAAGAAGGAAATAATCAAGTTTATAAAAGAAAACAAACAACTTTTCGGTGCGTTGAAGTACCTTTCAGAAACCGACGCTTATGAAAAAAAAAACACACGTGAAATTACTTGATGAAAGAAAGACATAAAGACTGAAAGCGCCAAAAGCTCTTAAACACTGGATAGATAAAGAGCTGACAGTCCTCGCTATTATAGTTTAAAAAAACTAGATAATGAAAAGAGAATGTCTTGAAAATTCAATCAACTTAGCGCCGTTGGGGCTTTTTGGAGAAGAGCAGAGTCGATTATCATTTTTCTTTTTAACCAAATCACTACCTCCCAATTGTTAATAAATCCATTGAAAATCTCGAGCATCCGATAACATCGAGTGTTAATTACGGTCTTGGGATGTTAATAAATGTCTAATTATTAATCTATCTATACTAATATTTGTGACTGTCGTTTGTCTGTCTGTTCGGGGTTGGCGGCTACACTAGGTCTGCCCCGAGTCTGAAATTTGGGGTACAGGGGTAGCTCGGACCGGGGAGT